TTTTTTTTTTTTTTTTTTTTTTTTTTCTGACGGAACTGGGGATATATGAGTGCCAGGCAAGCACTCATTCTACTGAGCTATCTCCCCAACCCCCACACTATACATTTTAATCTTTTCTCATATATATTATGGAATTTGTGTCGAGTTAGGATAAAATCCATACCCTAGTAATTTGACAGAAGTTTTACTGAATAGCCTGCAAGGTTCTGGAGATACAGAAATTAACAAAATCCCAACCTTCATAGAGTTTCAATTTCTTGTTTTCTTTTTGAGACAGGGTAATGTTGTGCAGTTCAGGCTGGCCTTTGAGCTCACAGTGATCCTCTTGCCTCAGCCTCCCAAGTGCTGGGATTACAGGGTGAGCCACCACGCCCGGCTTAAATTTCTAAGAGAGGAGACCCAAGCCTATATGTGGTATCATGAAAGAGCAGGACAGTAATTATAGACAGCTAAGTTAGAAATTAGTAGGCAAACAAGAATAAAGGAAAAGGGGAAAAAATAGAAGGAAAAAATAGAAACATCTTTTGTAAATAAGGAGAAAGAGGGGTTGAAAGGAGGAGAGAGGGGGGCCAGGGAGATGGCTCAGTAGAATAAGCGCTTGAGTTCAATCCCTGGTTCTGCCAAAAAAAAAAGAAAAAAGAAAGGACAGGGGAAAGGAAGTAAGATATCATGTACAGGTACAAATTTCCATATGTGATATGTATATCTAAGGTGTGTCAATATTTTTTTTTTTGTGACTGGCTCTGCCCACCTTGGCATGATGTGGTGCCAGGGAACAAACCGCTGTCCCTGCACACCTGCCTAAGCTTGCCTAAGCAGGCACTTTAGATTGCTGAACTATTTTGCTGGCCCTTTATCAATTTTATTTTTCTTTGTACCAATAATTTTTATATTTATTTATTTATTTATTTATTTATTTATTTTGGAGGAACCAGGGATTGAACTCAGACCCTTGCGCTTGCCAGGGAAACACATTCTACTGCGCCATCTCCCCGGCCCCTATTTATTTATTTTTATTGAGAAATAAATATGAGACAGTTTCACAGCTGATTAATAAGACAGTTTTGATAGTCAATACACTGTACATTGTTATCTTCTTAGTGGTTATCCACAGTACAAGAAGCAGACAGGATATTCTGTCCAAACACTGTTAGTACACCTCTTTCTTCTCATTGAGTTAAGCGAAAGTAGCTGTAAATTTATCCTATTTTATATATATAAATACAAAATGATCTTTCCTTTGTATCCTTTTTTTTTTTTTTATCCTGTCAGAGGTGACTATTCTATTGGCATCTACATACTATAGGTGTTTGAATTCAACTAAACAATCCAACACTGTCTAGCTGTCTATAATATTAGTGGGTTATCCTCAGAAGTTACTGACTTGAGCCTTTTACAGCTCATTGTATTAATATGGATTTACTTTATATACCTCATTTTTCTACTTTTCTGCTGGATGGTTAAGACCAAGATAAAGCCAGACCTATATAACAAGAAATGTAACTTTTGTATCTGATAAGGTCAGCCAAGTAATCTCAGGATTTATCCTGTAGCCCTGTACCACCCTTTTGTACCAATAATTTTAAATTTATGTGTTTGATACAGGGTCTCACTATGCAGCTTAGTCTCATAGTGATCCTCCTGTTTCAGCCTCATGGGCGCTGGGATTATAGATGTGTGCCACCAAGCCTGGTTTCGGTGGCTGGCTCAGCAGGACCTGGGCAGGCCAGCATGGCATGTGGTACCAGAGATCAACCCCAGGTCCTTGTGCTGGCCAAGCAGGCACTTAGACTGCCGAGCTTTCTCCCTGGCCCTACCAATAAATTTTTTTTTTCAAAGTTTTATTGAAGGGGGCCGGGGAGATGGCTCAGTGGAATAAGTGCTTCCCTGGCAAGCGCAAGGACCTGAGTTCAATCCCCCGTTCCGCAAAAAAAAAAAAAAAAAAAAAAAAGATTTCCAGGTTTTTGGGCTGGTGAGATGGCTCAGTGGTCTAAAGCACCTACTTAGAACAAGTTTAGCAAAGCACAGGGACCACGGTTCAATCCCCCAGCACCACATGCCAGCCAGCCCCGCCCCCTGGTGGGCTGAGCTGGCCACACACACACGCGCGCACACACAAATAAATAAATAATTTTTTAAAAAAGTTTTATTGATAAACAGATAGCAATGAGACAGTTTCAAATCAAATCGGAAGTACAGTTTCAACAAATAATACACTGCATATATTCTTCTTAGTGGTTAATTGCTGTACAAGATGCGGACTTGTGATCCTATCTACCAATAAAATTTTAAAAATGCAAAAACAATAGGCGGCCAGGGTCTGGGCCCTTGATAGTCAGTGCAGATGATGAGAACCACTGTGGCCAGAGGCCCCATTCAAACAAAGCCAGGCCTGGAAGTGCAGATGTAATAGCTAGGCCTAGGAGCCTCCTTAAGAGACAAGCACAACAGGTGTGGTGGCTCATGCCTGTAATCCCAGGACGCAGGAGGCTGAGGCAGGAGGATCCCTGTCACCTTGAGGCCATGAGCAAGTTCAAGGCCTGGCTAGAGTGAGACCCTAAAAAAGAAAGCAGTAACTTGAGATTATAGTGTAATCAGGCCCAGCCAGTCCACTGTGCCCAGATAGGCACCAAAGGCATAGCAAGCAGGACATTCAGGCCTGTGCTCCCCCGTCCCTTTCTGTGTGACTATAGATAAGCTAGTGACATTAGCCATACACCCTTCTTATGGGCCTTCACTATTGGATGCTTATAATCCTAAAGGTAGGTTTTAGTTTGACCCATGTTGTGATTTTGCTGTATAAAATATTCTTAAGAGAAATAGCCTCTATGGCAACCCACTTATGGGACCCTGACACACACACATCTTGTCTCTGAGGAGCCATCTCCTATCTCACTATACCTCTCCTGCTCTTAACTTCCGTGGTCTTTGCTATTCTGGGGTTGGGAACAGATTGTTTCCCGCACCTCAGTAGGACATACAAAGGGAGGCCAGGCAGGCAGTACTTTGAAGGCCTCTGACTGCGAAGGCAAGCTGTGAGTTTAAAAAGGAAAGGGAATCTTTGATTGGGAAGACCCCAAGGGGTCGTGCTTTAGTGATACTTGGTGTGAGGAGGTTGTAAAGGTAACAGAGGGCCACTGGGAATAAAGCTCAGCAGCACAGAGCCTGCCTGCCAACATCAGGGTCCTGAGTTTGATTGCCGGTACAATAAATAAATAAATAAATGGAACAACCATAATAAGGGGAAGTAATCTTGGAGGTTAGGTGAGGTTTATGAAAAAGAGAACAAAGGTGGAACTTCCTTTTCTGTTGTATGTAAATCAGAAATTTCTCCCTTCTGCCAGAGTAGCAGAGGGCTTTTTGTTTTGTTTTCTTTTGAGATAGCACCTCATTATACTGTTCAGGCTTGACCTTGAACTCATTTATGTAGCCCAGGCTGAACCGGAACCCAGTGATCCTCCTGCCTCAGCCTCCCAAGTGCTGAGGTTACAGATGTGCACCACCATTTGTTTTCATTTGGGGTGTGTGTGTGTGTGTGTGTGTGTGTGTGAGTAAAACAGGGTCTCACTCTGTAGTTCAGGCTTGAACTCACTGATCCTCCTGCATCAGCATCCCAAAAGTCAGGATGACAGGTGTGCGCTACCATACATGGTTTACGACCACTTCTTTTTTTTTAAAATTTTATTTATTTATGTGTGTGTGTGGCCAGCTCAGCCCACCAGGGGGCGGGGCTGGCTGGCATGTGGTGCTGGGGGATTGAACTGCGGTCCCTGTGCTTTGCTAAGCTTGTTCTAAGTAGGTGCTTTAGACCACTGAGCCATCTCACCAGCCCCAACAACCACTTCTTTACACAAAAGAAACGTCCAAGTGTCGGTCAGACTGGTACCCATTTTTTGGGTGGGAGGAAAACAAAGATCTAAAATGCCATTGGTGCTGTCTTCTTTTAATTAAATTAAAAACCTTAAGAAGGCATAGCCACTGGACATCACCTAACTAACAAGTGTAAAGCAAAGACTGAAGCAGTAAATTTAGGCGATGTGGAGCAGTTCTGTAGACCAACACGGAGGAGCGCAGTTACAACTGGAGTCGGCGGAAGTACTTTTAACAGGTCCTTTGAGTATCCTGTAGAAAATCAGAAACAAACACCAATTATTCTCTTTAGTCCAAACATGAGCATCAGAAGTAATTCTTAAAGGGGTATGTGTTTTAAGGGATGTTTCCATTGGGCTTAGTGGTGCAAGCCCACTATTCCCAGGACTTTAGGAGGTTGAGGCAGAATTGCAAGTTCAGGCCCAGCCTGGGCAACTCAGCCAGAGTTTTGTTTTTGTCTAAAAACAAAACAAAAATAAAAAAGGACTAGAGCGTGGAGTTATGTGGGAAGCCAAAACTGAGTGCGTGCATGAATAAATAAATAAAATCAATCTGTATTTTCTAACACCTTGCAGCAACTGCCAAGCTGAGGGCGTCCGCTCTGGGCGCTCACGCAAGGCGCGTGCGTGGCCTCGGCTGCAGCTGGCGCTGGCGGCGCTTGCGCAGTCCGGCGAGGAGCTTCTGCGCGACTCTGCGCTCGTGGCCGCCGGGCACCGGCCGGTTGGTGCGCAGGACCTGCTCCCGCCGGGTCCGACCCTTGCTGCGCCCGGCCCCCGAGGCCGGGAAGTCCCGCAGGTAGTAGTAGTCAGGGCAGTCGTACGCGTCGTCGTCCCAGCTTGCCCGCGGCAGTGTCTCGGGGGGTGGCGGCCGGGCCGGGAGAAGAGCGCGGGGACCGGCAAGGTCTGTCCCAGCCTCCATGGTCCACCGCGGTCCCCGCACGCAGGCCCGCTGCGCGCGCACTGCGGCGGCCTGGCCGCTCCGCGCCCTGATTGGCCTGTCGTCGGGGGCGGAGCTCGTGACGTCACAGAGTCCCGGGGTTTTTTAGTAGGGCGGGGCTTAGCCCGAGGGACCCAGGCGTTGTGACACCTGCTGTATGCCAGGTTAGGGTAGTTAACTCGGCTGCAACGTCATTATTATTATTATTATTATTATTATCATTATTTTTACGGTACTGGGGATTGAACCAAGGCCTTCACACCAAGCAATATCCCCGGCCCTTTTTATTTACTTATTTTACTTTAATTTTTGAGACTGGTCTCGCCATGTAGTTCGGACTGGCCTTGAACTGTGTATGCCAGGCTGGCCTCGAACATATGGCGATCCTTCTGCCTCAGCCTCCTTTGTACTGGGATTGTAGGCGTCTGTCTGTCTGTCTGTCTCTCTCTCTGTCTCTCTCTCTCCCCTTCTTCTTCGTCTTCGTCGTCTTCTTTCTTCTTTCTTCTTTTTGTCCCAGGGATCGACCTGGGGACCTTGTGCTTGCCAGACAGGCGCTTATGCCGCTGAGTGATATCCCCGGGGCTAAGTTTCTTCTTTTGAGGCAGCACCTCCTTGAGACACAAAGCTGTCCAGCTGGATTGGAACTTGTGATCCTCCTACCACCGCCTCCCTAGAGTGCTGGGATTACAGGTGACACTACCATGCTCGCTTGCTTCATTTCATTTGTTGTGTGCTTTTGCTGCCTTGTGCCCAGCGCTAGCTAGGCAGGCAGGTGTTTTTACTGGTGCCTGGGAGCTTTAGGGCGCAAAGGGCAGAGGCCAGGGCCTTGGGCAGAACAGCAGTGGCAGGGCGTCGTCCAGTCAGTGACCTGTCGTGTATGTACCTTTCTCTCCTGTTTGTTTGCACGTATTGTCTTTCTCTCATTCTAGCTGGACATATTATAGAAATGAATCAGTTGTTAGAAGTTTGAACAGTCGAGTTTTGGGTTTCAAAACTCGTGGTGGCCAGTGCAAGGTCCTGCGTTCAATCCCTGGGTCCAAAAAAGAAAAAAGAAGAGAGAGAGAGAAAAAAAAAAGCAGGTGGCCAGAACATGGCACATGTTGCATTTTTAGGTCTCATTATGGAAATAACTGTAACCATGGAGAGTGAAAACATACCGTTTGCTGTCTTACAAAGAATGAGAGCTTGCCTGGCAAGCACAAGGGCCTGAGTTCAATCCCTGTTTCTGCCAAAAAAAAAAAAGTACCCCCAGCTTTTGCACACTTGGTGTCTGCAGACATCAGTAGCCCCAAACCAACGCCTGCCCCACGGTGGCCCTCTGCAGCTGTTATTAAAAGCCTTGATACACTCCAACTAGATCTTGCTTTCACAGCACAGACTGCTGTTTTGAGATGTTAATTTTGCGTCCATTGCCTTACATTTCTATTTGCTGAGTTCATTTCATCATGGATTTTCTGAGGTTTCATATCATCACCAAATAGAAATAGCTTTTATCAAGCATATTTTTGTCATTGTTGTCTCTAATTAGAGATAATGTGCATTTTTTTTAAACCTTGTCCTGGCTTTAGTGGGAATGCGTGTGGTGTTTCTCCCAACTCCTGACTTCTGAACTGCAAAGACTGAGCATAAATCTGTGTGTATTCTTGTGGTCATTTTTGCATATTTGTAGCTCTTGCCAAGTAAAAGTTCAGTGTCCTTCTGCAGCTGGAGCTGGACAGAAGAGGGTGGGGGATGGCTTGGGGATGGGTTGCATATGCCTCCAAAGGGTTGTGCTTGGGAAAGCTTGGTGCTAGTGTGGGCTATTTAAGTGGGGCTTCATTACAGGACTGAAGTCACCCCCATCAGTGTGGCTCTTGGGAACCCTAGTTCTTCAGGGAATGGTTATTAGAGAGTACAGACACCGCCCATGCCTTTGGCCTCCAACTCAGGGCAATCCTACCTCAGCTTCCCAAGTGCTAGGATTACAGGTGTGCGTCACCATGCCCAGCTGCTGGTCATACAACAAAATGAAACATAGTTTTGGTTTATATTTATTTTTTTCCAAAATTCACAGAAAGAGGAAAAATTTTAATGTCATTCCTCAAGTAGCACAAAGTACTTGTTTAAAATATTTTGAGACAATATATGTAGTTCAGACTGGCCTTCAATTTAGTGTGTAGCCTACGCTGTCTTCAGATTTGCAGCAAATCTCCTGCCTCAGCCTCCTGGGGGGTGGGATAACAGGTAAGTACTACCACACCCTACTGTTGTCTTTCTTGGAGTCTTCATCTCTTATTTTTCATTCTCTCTCTCTCTCTCTCTCTCTCCCTCTCTCCCCCTTCTCCTCCTCCTCTCTCCCTCTCCCCTCCTTTCTTCTTTCATCCAGGGTCTGGTATGCAGCTCAGACTCAGTGATCATCCTGTCTCAGCCTCCCCAGCACTGGGATTATAGGCATGCACCACCACGCCTGGTTTCACTGGTCTGCACGGGGAGCCTGGGGAATCCTGGGGCCAGCACAAGGATCAGCACGAGGGGCCTTGCGCTTGCCAGGACAGGATCTTGACTTCTAATGGGAGAAGGGTCCTGGGGCTGGAGACAGGAAGGGCACAGAGAGCCACGCGGGAATGTGGGGATGAAACCTGCAGGAACAACATTGGCTTCCTCAGAATCCAGCTTAGGGCAGTGGCTTGTGGGGGACATCGCCTGCATGAGTCCCCGCCCATTCTCTTAAGTTCCCCGCGGTGCTGATGGAGCACGGCCAGCAGAGGGAGCTGGAAAGCTGTGGCCAGAAGCTCCCGGAATCAGGCGAGCACAGCCTGACTCCGGGGGCGGCGAGCGTATTCTCAGCCCCTGGAGGGCCTGGGGTCCAGCGCAGCAGTGGCTTCTCCGCCATTTGTCTTCAGGGGCCTGGATCTCAGACCTAGGGGAGAGGTAGTCCCTTCCTTGGTCACCTTATCGGGTCCTGAACCTCAGAACTGTAGCTGATCCTTTCACATAGCTGCCAGTCCTCCTCTTTATACTAAACTTTACTTGGTGAAACTTACTGTGGTCCATGCCTCCTGGTCCGACCCTGAAAGACAGAGAATTGCCAGCAAGATGGCTTTCAGGAGGCAAGAAGTGGATCACAAAGGAGGCTTGGGAGAAAGTGTGGCTGTGGCTTTGCCCTTGAGTGCCGCGCTGAGCTCCTTGCTAGCAGGAAATGAGATCCCCATGACTCAGTACACACAGAGACTGCACAGTTAGTGAAGCTACTAGCCTGGCACGGTGGCGCACACCTGCAGTCCCAGCACTCAGGAGGCTGAGGCAGGAGGATCCAGCCTGAGCTACAAAGAGCTCAAGGCCAGCCTGAACTGCATAGCGAGGCCCTGTCTCAAAAAACAAAACAAAACAAAAATATTTACAGAGAGACAAGTTCAAGGCTTTAATCCTTAGCTTACATCATGGTCTAAAAGGAGAGTGCATTCATGATGGCTCAAAAAGAATTTGTCGTTTCCTAATAGAGGGCTGATATTTTGAAAATCAAACACAGCTGTGTGGGCCGCTGAGTTACCATCCCAGCTCCATACATTCTTGCTGTTCTCTCACTTGAAGGCGGAGGGCATTGATGGGAAAAGTGCAGGAGCCTAAAACCTCGGATGAAATGTGTGTTTGGACTCAAATGAAATGAAAACAAGAGGTGACTGAAAAAATGATGAATATTTAAATTTTCAAAAGGTATTACAGTAGGCTGGAGAGCTACGTTGGTGGTCTAAATGCCTGCCTGGCAAGCTCAAGGACCTGGGTTTGAGCCCTAATACCATATGCCGAGCTGGCCCTCGATACCCTATGCTGTGCCAGCCACTGAAACCAAGCGTGGTGGCACATGCCTATAATTTCAGTGCTGGGGAGGCTGAGACAGGAGGATTGCTATGAGTCCAAGCTGCGTAGTGAGACCTTGTACCAAATAAATAAATATTTTTTAAAATTGCAGTAAAAGACACATTGCTAGGAATGCCCTCAAAGTCTCCCCCGCCACCACCACTTCAAACACACTGATCTCACTGTTCTTGCCACTTTTTTTTTTTTTTTTTTTTTTTTGAGGCAAGGTCTCACAGTGCAGTGCAGGTTGGCCTTGAACTCACAGCAGTCCTCCTCCTACCTCAGCTTCCCAGGTTCTGGGATAACAGGGATGCACCACCATGCCCAGCTCCTTGTCATTTTCTGAAGCAGCTCTGGAAGTCCTCTTTCCTGAGTGTCTTTATGAGGTATGAGAAAAAAGAAATTTTTTAAAAAAATATTTATTTATTTATGTGTGTGTGTGTGTGTGTGTGTGTGTGGCCAGCTCAGCCCACCAGGGGCGGGGCTGGCTGGCCTGTGGTGCTGGGGGATTGAACCACGGTCCCTTGTGCTTTGCTAAGCTTGTTCTAAGTAGGTGCTTTAAGACCACTGAGCCGTCTCACCAGCCCGAGAAAAAATAGTGACTGCTGCTGCCACGTGCCACCCAACAGCAACGTATATTTATAAAAACATGACTGTCCTCACTCACCCCATTCACTGGACCTGGTGCTGTGACCTCTGGCCCCTTCCCAAAGTCAAAGTGGCCATGAAAGGGGAACGTTTTGGATCCCTCAGGGGATCAAGGCAGCCAGGGCAGTGCAACTAGAGACCCTCAAGAAGACACGTCAAGTCCGGGCATGGTGGTGCACGCCTGTAATCCCAGCACTACAGAGGCTGAAAACTAGAAGGATCACTACAAGTCCAAGCTGCGCAGTGAGACCCTGCACACACACACACACACAAAAAGAAATTGGTAGGTTTCCTTAGTCTTTTGCCAAAAGTGTCGTGTGTGTGTGTGTGTGTGTGTGTGTGTGTGTGTGGAGTGTGTGTGTGTGACTGGGGATCAGACCCATGACCTTGCTCCCACTGGGCAAACTCCCTGCGACAGCAGGACCGTGTCCCCAGTTCTTAGATCTGTGTTGCCGTCTCTCCTTCAGCCAGACTTCTGAAACCACCCCTTGCTCAGGCACTGGAGAGGTACAAAGTACGGTTACAGGTGACAGTGCACGGAGGTGGCAGTC